AGTGGGCCCAGCTGTGGGGAGACACTGCAGGAGGTTGGTCAGCCATGGGAGATAGGCTGTGGGAGCACACTGACCACCAGGGGGCAGCGCCTGCATTGAGAGTCTGCCCCTGGTGGTCAGTGCGCATCATAGCCACTGGTCCTTCCACCATTTGGTTGATTTGCATATTAGCCTTTTATTATATAGGATAATTCCTTAGAGTCTGGGAAATGCCAAGAATATTGCCACAAAACACCCGAATGATAAATATTAGAATTCATGAGGCTCATACTCACCAACCAAAACAAAAGATGACAAAGTAGATGCCAAAAATGGTGGCAAATGTGTGCCGGGCCAAGGGACTGGTTTTACCGGGACTTAAGTAGATGCGAAACCAGAAAGCAGCAAACAAAGCAACGAGCTGGCATACCACAAAATTCACCTATAAAGGAAAAAAGAATCAAAACCTTTACTGCTCTGCCTGTGTGAGAATGTGCTTGACATTCTTCAGATTTCCATGTTGGGTGCACCTCAGACTTGTACTTCTTCTGCAGTAGGGTGTTCATTTGGAGGAGGAGCCACAGATTGAAGAGAACTGGGCCCTCCTCAGAGGTATAAGAAGCAAGCTACCCAATAAGGGCAGATGAACCTAACAAAGGCAGACCTCGTTTTATTGCACTTTATTTTACTGTGCTTCACAGGTGTTGTTTTACAAACTGAAGGCAAGTCCCTCCACCATGATCCAGCAAAAAGATTATGACTTGCTTTATTGCCCTGCTTTATTGCCCTACTCGCTTTATTATGGTAGTCTGGAATCAACCTGAAATACCTCCGAGGCATACCTGTAGTTTCTTTTCCAGTTCTTTAAAACTAGCCAAGGCTGCTTTCCCACCCATAATAGGAGACTTGTGCATGTAAAGACTGCAGCTGATTATGAGGTCAGTTTCCTGGGTCTCTTCCTATCACCCACAACACTATCCTATCTAATAAAAGAGAAACATGGTAATTAGCCATACGTCCGCTACCCTTCCCATTGGCTAATCAGGGTGATATGCAAATTAACTTCCAGCCAAGATGGCGGCCGGCAACCAGGCAGCTTAATCAAACATGAACATGAGGCTTGCTTACTCCAGTGATGGAGGAAGTCAACGTTCCACATCTGTGGCAGCTCAGCTCTGAGCTCCGGATGAAACAATGTTGCAATTATAGAACCTAAACAAACCCCAGAAACCTGCTTTCAGCCAGCACAGCCTCAGAGCTTAGAGCGGCCAGTGATGGAAACAGAGTTTCAATTATAGAATCTAAACAAACCCAGGTACCTGCTTTCAGCTGGCAACTGCCTCAGAGCTGGAGCCTGCTCTCAGCACCAGCGACAG